TGCTGTTCATTCATTGTTACATCTCTATATTCAAACATATATGGGACATTCCAATGTGACGGGTGGGACATTTGAACTCGTTTTTCCTCAAAATGTAAAGTAATTTCTCTTTAACCCTTAGTTTGGCAAGTTCTAAACTGTTCCCGTATAATAAGGTACAAGTTTCAAGAGTCTTAAAAATACTGTTGCTTTTTGGATTTTTTTTCTTTGTGGTGTTGGGCACTTTCCTCCATATCGTTGGCTTAGTTCGCAAACGTGCAAAGTCCATTTTTTTTTTATTTTTCAGGAGGGACAAAAAACCGTCTAACTTTTTTTGTTTTCAATATTTTTCTAATCTGTAAATGCAGTTTTATTCCTTAGTTCGTCTTGTTTTAGTACCAATAATCGGCCAATTTCCAAATAAAGCTGTTGCAGACTTATAGGCTCTTTTAGGACTTACTACATTTTCTCTTTAAGATTTTATTCTTTTAATGTGGACTTGGCACATTTTCTATCAACCTTTTTTACATTATTTTTTATTGTTAAAAGATTTAATTGTTTAGTTTAAATATATTTTATTGTTTTAAAATGAATTATAACCTAATACAGTTTTATTTCATTGCTATTAATAAAAATGACTATTTTAAGTCGTAAATTTATGTACCATTTATAAAAGAAAATAATTAAAAGCAAGTAAAGAGGTATAAGTTTGGGCGAAACCGAACTTTATATACCCGGCGCAGGTATCAAATACTGTCGTAAACAGGGGCTTTTTTCCCGATTTCAAAGGTTTTCGATAATATCCTGAGTTAAACTCAATGAAATAATTGAACCACGTTTAGTGGAAATCGCTAAAGTGGCTACCGAAATACACCTTGTAGTCATAAAGTGGGCGGTGTCACGCAGTCTTATTTATTGTTAAGAAATTAAGAGATCTGAAATTTACCGTTAGATATACGGGAAGCGAATGTAATTTTGGTCCAATTTGAATAATTTTCGACGAATTGCTTTTCCGTACCAGGTTTATTAAGTGCACAGAGTTTGGTAGAAATTGATAAATCGGTTACCGAGTTACACGTTTGTGGTCATAAGTGGGCGGCGCCATGCCCATTATCCAAAAATGTATCATAATCTTATTTTCTGCTGAGTGGTTATCGCGATCGTCGATTTTAAGTGAATTAGATTTTTAACAGATTTCTTAGCTAGACCCTAAATAAGGCTCGTACCGAGTTTGGTGAATGGGCTACTGAGATACAGCATTTCATAATAGGTGGGCGGGGTCACGCCCATTTTCCAAAAATAATATAATATTTTTTACAAAAATTTTACTTCACATACTAATTTTGAACAATTTGCATCCAATATTTACTGCGTCGGCCGCTGTGGTGTAGTGGTAAGCAGTGCGCGCATCCACTCCACAATGCCTGGGTTCAAACCCTGGTCAAAGCAACATCGCAAAAATATAGAAAAAAGGTTTTTTCTTAACAGCGGTCGTCCCTCGGCAGGCAATGGCAAACCTCCGAGTGTATTTCTGCCATGAAAAACAGCTTCTCATAAAATAAAATATAATCGCCGTTCGGAGTCGGCGTAAAACTGTAAGTCCCTCCGCTTTGTGTGATAACATCAAGGCGCACGCCACAAATCAAAAGAGGAGCATATGTGTAAGCGCCAATCTATTATTATTATTGTTATTACTACTTTGTGCCGTGTCGCTGCTAATGTGAAAGTACCCTGCAGCAAATGAAATTAATTTGAAAGTAATTTATAAAACTAGTAATTTTTAGCAAAAAAAAAACCGACTTCAACTCCCATATAAAAAAAAAAATATATATATATATCTCATGATCCGCTGATCGGATCTTAACCAGATTAGTATGGGACCACCTCTGAGACACTATCTTTCCGATGCAAAATTTATCGAAATCGGTTGACGTGGTCCAAAGTTATGCGGTGAAATACAACACTAAAAAAAAATAAAAAAAAAAAAATTCCGACGAACTGATAACCTCCTCCTTTTTTGGAAGTCGGTTAATAATTTATTTTCAATAATAACTAATTGAAAATCTCACTGCAACGAACTGATTTATTTAACATGGCGATGTCCTGGGAAGCAGTCAATTATCCGGCTCTTCATTTGATTTCAATTACTTATGTAAAAAGGCATTCGGCTTAAAGCACTTCAAAGTCAGTATATTTCGTTTGAATACACTTTCGTTCTGCACTTCACAGATGCTTCTTCATATTTAAAAGACCCAAAAAAAGTGAATTATCGTTTTCACATTTTGTCTCTGTTGGGACTCGAACCCAGATCTTCTGAAATCTAACAAGTAACAACAAGCATCTCTGCACGCTCAGCTACAGCCAGACATGTATGTAAGTGTGCTTTCAAATGTACAGTTTGAATTGTGTGCAAGCAGCAAGTGAATAGCCCAACTCTGCATTTGATTTCAACTGCTTTAATTTGCATTTGATTTAAATCACTTAAAAGTGAGTATTTTTCTTTTTAATACGCACTTCGCAGGTGGTTTTTCATCCTTCCAAGACACAAATTGTTTCTTTGAGTAAAAATAGTACCAAAATTAGAAACATTTACTCACCGCATTCGTTTCAAAGTAGTCTTTCATTTAGTTGATTGAAAAAAAAGTCACTAGCTTCCGCCAGGGTATGTACCAGGGTTGTTGCGAGTATTCGCATTCGCAACCGCGGAGCTTCCGCATTAATTTAAACATTCGCTTACGCATTCGCAATAATCAATGCGGATCTTTTGCGAATGCGAATATTGAGGGACCGAAAATAACAGTTATTTTTTTTACGAGTTAAACTTGGGCAAATATTTTTTATTCCGAAATAAAAATTCCTTCCGGATAATAAACAAACCGCTTACCCAAATTATACAAGTTTGGTATCAAATGAAATGGATTTAAATATGTAGCTTTAAAACTGAAATGTCTAAACGAGGAAAGCCACCTATTGAAAAATATTTCAATAAAAATGTTAATGAATACCATAGCATGTTAATGAATACCATGGTATGGTATGCATTTCTTTAGTATTAAATTATAAAAAAAAATATAAATATGGGTGGCAACCTTCGTTCGTTATTTCTGTTTCAAAGCTATTTCAGTCCTCTGTCATATGATACCAAATTCGTTAAATGAGGATAAGCGGTTTGTTTATTATCCGGAAGAAACTTTTATTACGGAATTAAAATATTAGGTCAAGTTTAACTCGTAAAAAAATAACTGTTATTTTCGGTCCCTGGAATATTGTGCAAGTGCACTGATAAAACAGTCACAGAAGAAAGGATTAGAAATAAATTACAAAAACTAAAATCGAAAAGCGCTGATGGCGTTATAGGTTCCCCGAATTCCGATAGAACCAAAATAATGAGAATGAAGAATTCTTTGGAAAACAACCGTGTTTAACCAACGATCGTGCAATGATGCTAGATTGTGAAGTTGAAATTCAGGAGGATACATCCGACATTTGCAGCCCCGATGCAATTCTCGAAAAGGAATTATTGCATCGCAATAAAAAAATAAATGAATATAACTGAAAGTCCTCTCAACTAGTGCATCGTCAATCGAAAAGAATTTACAATTTTCTCAAGTTTCAAGTTTTTCAAGTTTGTCGCCTCGAGCGAGTAGTTATTTAGTGGCGCAGGTTTGATTTACGGTCCCTCAAAAAGTTTTTGTCATATACAATGTTCCAAATTTTTAAATTCAAGTACTAAAAGAACATTATTAAAAAATACTAACCTTTCTATTTTTTATTTTCCTAAATCTCCTTATTTACTCACCTCAATTATTTCTTAAAAATACTTGACATCCGCATTCGCATCCGCGGATATCCAAAATTCCACATTCGCAACATCCCTAGTATGTACTCCGAAAAATCGTGTCGGTGTCGGTGCAGTGCTGATGTTTAGAGGACTTGAAAGCACAAACACTTATTTTTAAACAGTGTGAAAATTCATACAGCCGGGCTCTCGTTTCCGAATTCGCAAAAATTTTGCGTTTTAGTTTTCAAATCGCATAATTGCGCACTCTCACAATCGTATATCGCAAAATTTTCGCGGTTTCAAATCGGAAACTTTAGACTTAGTGGCATGAAAAGTAAATGACGTCACACGCTTAAATAACCGATTTATAAAAGCTTGGACAGCTTTTATTTATTAAAAGAAATTCTTAAGATACATTTCCCGTACTTAAAAATAAATATTCGATTTAATTTATTTTTTAATTAAATATTTACGGACCATACCTCAAATTTTTCTGCAGCAAAATTGCCGAAACAACAACTGTTTCCGATTTGATTCAGTCGATAAATCGATTAACTTTGCCAAATAATCGGTATGTAATTGAGGGTTGCCTTAGTAAATTCGGTCTTTTTCTTTTTCTTTTTGCTTCAAAACACGCTAGTGAAAAAATTAAAGGCATTTTTGTTTATTTTAAACTTGTTGAAATAGCTAAAACAGCTGTTTTGCTATACCAGAAACAAAGTGAAGAATGGAACTTATCGATAACAAAAAGTTGCGAATTCAAGAGCATCCAAAAATAAAAACGTACGATTTTTACGAAAACGCAAAACGCAAAAGTAAATGAAAATGGGAGCCCGGCTGATAGTATAACTTTTATGGCACCTTCCGAACCTCCCAAATATAATTTAACCGTTTAAAGTTTACGACGAACAACAATACGAAATTTAAATACGACACCGTTGTGAATACCCCAAATATACATATTTTGTATATTAAGGCGACTTTACAAAGTAAATGGACCGCAAATTCACAAAACTAAAATTCCGACTTTACTTATTTTGGACCACCCTAATGTAAACACGTTCGTATAAATATGACACCTGGATGCAGATCGAATGTAATGCCCATTCAACCAATAATAAAGAGTATAAAGTGAACATTGCCCGCACATAAATACATATGCACATACAAATAAACATAAGTGGGTATGGGGAAATACATACGTGAAAGTGATAACGAGAAACATTTTGTCGCAAAATTTCTTTTGCTATGGTTTTCCCCCAAAAATACATATGTGTATGTATGTGCGAGTGTTTGTACACAAAGAAAATCTCGACTATAAAAGCGCATCCCGACTCAAAAGAAATCATTGTCATTGTACCTTCTTCAAGATGAAGTTATATGGATTCTTCGCTGTTTTGTTAGCCCTATTGGCTTTAGCAATTGGTGAGTTAAGATTTAGACAATATAATATGTAAAGCACTTACTTACATATATGTGTTCTTATACACAATTTCTTACTACAGCAAGCCCAAATCCTCTGCCGAATCCTGAGCCTGTGCCCGGAGGCGGTGGCGGTGGTGGAGGTGGCGGTGGGCAGTTTGGAGGCGGCGGCGGTGGCGGTGGTGGTGGTGGTGGCAAGTAAACTGACCACATTTTTTTTTATGAACATAAACATTACTGTAAGAAATTCTCAACTTTAATTATTAAACAAGAAAATAAAAAACATTGAAAAGTATAACAATTAGTTTTTTATCTGAAAGAATTATTCTGATCACCTTTAGAACTGTATAGAATTTAAACATATATTATGCGATGGTCTTTAAAGGAACTCACTCGGGCTGTGCACATTAGGGAACGTACCCATACTACGTGACCCACTTTTTGCAATTTTCAACCCCCTCCCCCCTCGGTGACCACGCGTATTATATTCCAAGACCCTCCCGCTCCCTCTAAAGTTTTCACGTAGTAATTCATTAATATGCTTTTGAATCATTTCCCTGCTAACAAAAAGTTAAAAAAAAAATTTATTTGGCTTATAGTATGAATTTGTCTTTATTAATACGGCGCTTGCTGCATGAAAAACGCTAGATTTCCTTAGAGGGTCACATAGTATGGGTACGTTCCCTTATGAGATATGGTAGCGGAGTAAAAAATTTCGCCAATTTCCAAGAAAGTAAAAAAAGATACCCAAACATTCCCACGTCTGTCGGTTCTACGTACCAGAATGGCTTGGGTTTATTATGAACAAGGGCTGTGGTCTCGGTGCTCCAACAACTCGCATCGGAGTTGCTTCGTATTCTTTTCGCTTCAGGCTGGCATCGAGGGAAACCTCCGATCAGAAACCTACTTCTGCGGTCACAAAAGGTGTGAACCACACGGTTTTTGGCCCTATGTTGCTCAGGCCTAATGTTTCCATATCCACAGTTTTAACTGTAAACTTCTGTTTTTGTTCGGCATGTGAAAGTTCCATCCACGAGAATAGCCACCTCTTCATATGCCCACTCAAACCAACCCAACTTACCCCCCTCTTCTTCTTGTGCGACCCGTGGAAACAGTACGTGTTCAGACGTTTTTTACCGAGTCAATCTTTTTACTTTCAATTCGAATCAATGTACATATCTGCTCAACTAAGACGAGGCGAAATGGGTAGTAATGAGGCTTGAAGACAACAATGCGCTTAGTGCCGACGGAATACCGGCAGTACAAAGTCCGCTCCAAAAAGCTGATAATGCGCAAGTACCAGCTGTAAAGCGTATTCTGTCCTATGATTGCATGCTCGCAGATTGGAATCTCCGTGTACTTTGCCAAATCCATAAAAAGGGAGACACCGCCGTTTGCGCCAATTACTTCTTAGAGTTGCTCTTATCGACGATTCTTTGTGCTTGTCAGTTGACTTGGTGCTGAAATGAACAAAACTGAAATAGCTTAGGAATCCCTGTAGAAAACTATTAAACGTCAGATACATACTCGGGAGGGCTTACGCGCGCGTGTGTACAATAAATACTGGGACGTCCACCAGTACAATGGAAGAACCAATTCTACCATTAGTCCACACTTTGCAAAGGACAGCTGCATTTTGCGATGTTTTTCGATCTTAATCCAAACGAACAAACCGTTGTCGTTTCACGTGGGAAATTAAAACTTTTTACATCCCAGCACACTTGCACGCAAGGATGTACTACCTTTGTTCGCATAGCGGTTGTTTGTAACAGCAGCAGCAGGAATCTAAATATGTAGAATAGGGCGGGTCAATTTTTTCGACTATAGGCGTATAGCATAAGAGGATTCGATGTGTAATTCTAAGCAAATTTTCCGAAAAAACCATGGGTCTAAAAGCATGCTATAAGAGGTTTTGATATGAGGAATTTATTTCTGTACTCATCTTTTTCCTAAAACATCCGCCAGAGGACGAGACAGTGAAAATTTTCACGTATATTTTACTTATCCTTGAAAAATTTGGTTCATACAACTACATAAAAGGGTGGGCTTTCCAAAACGGAACCAATCGAAATTTCAGCGAAAGTATAAGGAATTTCGTCATGAAACTTGGTGAGGATGTTGGGGGAGGCCTCCTCAACATGAATTGTTCACTCTCACAATATAATTGCTAATAGTATTTTAGCAATTTGTTGTTAAATAATGTCCACTATCACCCCCTAATTTTTTTAAAATATGCCACTTATCACTTATATTTTGTGTTACATGTTATATTTTCAATGCTCACATGCGTATTTTATGCTTTTATTATATATAATTCACCAATTAATTAAGTAAAACGCGTTTATAAACTTGTGTTCACGTTTTACCACTTTTCACAAACAAACAGAAATAACAATGGCCGACAGTAAGAGCAAATATGTGCTGCCATACGTTTTAAAAGTAAATACGCCACTATTAAAGGATTTTATTAAAACGCGGCAAACACAAAAAGGAGTTGTGCGTAAAATCGTCATATCGCGCGATTTTATATAAAACACCCAGTAACCATATATTAATATAGTTCCATATATATCGAAAATTTATAATAAAAAATCGCGCGATTTTTTATTAAAAATTTT